TATTATTATTATTATTATTATTATTATTATTATTATTATTATTATTATTATTATTATTATTATTATTATTATTATTATTATTATTATTATTATTATTATTATTATTATTATTATTATTATTATTATTATTATTATTATTATTATTATTATTATTATTATTATTATTATTATTATTATTATTATAAAATGTGTTCTCATTTGAAGTGAGATCAAAATGGAAGATGATCACAAAATACCACCTTTTATGTCGAGAATGCAAACAAATGGAGAATAAATTGTTTTAACTTACAAAGATCAAAAAGATGATGAGCATCCCCAAATTGACCTTAGTGATCATGACAGATAATAATGCAGGGAATCGCCTTTGCAATGGTATATGTGCCACAGTATCGAAAATCTATGCATATTATACAAACGATAGAGTTGAATCTCATTACGATTCCGTATTTTTTGATCCAAGTTATGACAATGTTGATTATCGTGACAGATTTAAAAATCGCACTACAGTTAAGGACGTTAGTAGCTCATTACATAGATAATTAAGTAATTTCGTACACTATTAGTTTAAACAATCCAGGAAAAATTATTTGAACATATGATGTTGAACGACCTCAAGAAGATGAACATCTTCAAAGTGATTCAATGATTATGACAGATAGTAACGCATTGAATTGCCTCTACAATGGCATACCAGCCATGGTATCGAAAATCATTGTATATCCCAGAGTCGCTAGAGTTGACTCTCATTACGATTAGGTAATATATGATCCAAATTCACCGAGGGACATCGTACAAAATAGCACTACAGCTAAGTACGTGAGTAACTCATTACATAGATAAGTAAGTAATATAGTACATTATTAATTTTCACAATCGAGGAAAAAATGATTTGAACATATGCATTATTGTTATTATTATTATTATTATTATTATTATTATTATTATTATTATTATTATTATTATTATTATAAAATGTGTTCTCATTTGAGGTGAGAACAAAATGGAAGGTGATCACAAAATACCACCTTTTATGTCGAGGATGCAAACAAATGATGAATAAAGTGTTTTAACGTACAAAGATCAAAAAGATGATGAGCACCCCCAAATTGACCTTAGTGATCATGACAGATAATAATGCAGGGAATCGCCTCTTCAATGGTATACGTGCCACGGTATTATTTAATCGTAAACTAAACGAAAAGTTCGTAAACACCTGACAGTGAAAAACATATGTTGATAATTTGCAAAAAAAATGTTATCTGATCAGAACAAAATAAAACATATCTATCAAAATGTCACCAACTGACGCACATAAAAGTCAGATACTAGCGAACGAAAATATGTATCGATACATAAATTTAAGATCGCCGATAAAGTTAGATTTTTCGGACGAAAAGGTTTTTGAAATGGTATTTACTCCAATATTTGTCAACTATCCTTCCACCAAACATATGCATATAATTTCGAGCATAGCGCCAAATATTAAAATCAAGGCACAGTCTATTGCGGATTACAATTAACACTGCAGTATTACATATGGAATGACACAATATCAGTTTGATGTAATGTATAGCAAAATGAAAGCAGAATTTGTGGAATGTAGAAAGTGAATATAAGTAAATACTTAACTTCAAGGACTATTCATCTGGGTCAATATTCCAGGAAGTGAAGGTGTAACAGCGTCAACAGTAACAAAATAAGACAAATTATACAGAAAACGAACACACTCCTGCATCCTAGAAGGCTCAATTAACTACAATGGCTCAACTTAATACCCTAGCAGAGAGAATACCTGCGCACGCATTCGGAGCGAACGCATTGTGATTGGCTGTGGATAACACGTGATTAAATAATTTGAATATATTGGTCCTTGACGGCACGTTATCCACCTGGGCTGTTCTTTTGTTTTATATCCTGCTTGGACAATTGGTAGGGCCACCTAATCCGCTTGGAGTCCAGCGTGTCAGCGTCTAACAAAAAACCAGAACAAAGAAATCAATCGGTATAAAAAAGAGAACAATAAGCGGATTAGCAATCGACCCTGCAGGGAACAAAAGACAGGTAGGAAATCAATTTAGATCCACGTAATCGGTTACGTAATTTTAGTTAATACTCTTTTAATTCTCTATTCTCATTAACTCTCCCGCTGGTCAACTTTCCTTCTCCTAACAATTCGCAAATAATACAATTATTTTATTCCCAACTATTAACATTTTGGCGCCAATTTCTTTCTCCTTAAATAGGTGTTAGGATTCCTACTAATGTTTACCTGGGGTGAGTCCTTGCAGATTTACAAGATCTAGCAAAATTTGAGTCTGTGCACCTGTATGTATACGTATGCATGTAGTTGGGTGTATTTTTGTATATATAGTAGAAAAACTGTGGAAACAAATGTTTGATATACATGCCGTACTTGTAATAAAATCTAAAGGTAACACACAATATAGCAATAAACATATAATATGCACAAAGGCATAGGAGATCCTGGCCAAGGTCGCAAAATGATGAAAAAGTAGGGGGATTCCGAGAAAATTATTAAAATTTGATTGGATCAACAAACCTTCAGATACAGTAGAGAAAAATACCCAGTCAAACATTGTCTCAAAATAATATTTTTATCAAAATTCTTTTTATAAAATGATATAATGCACCGCACCTGGGGGAAATAAGAATACGTGAAATACTTTTCATTTTTTTAGCTAAGTTTGGGGGGAGGCATCTGTATGGTGCCTCCCCCATCCCCCCTCTAAAAAAAGAAGTAGTGAACTGTGAGACTCTCAGTTAAAGGAGAAGAAAGGCGCTATAATTGTTCTATACTTTACTATCTATACCTCCTTACTAAAACATTGCCTTCATAACAGGTACTAGGATACATGATAGTAAACACCTGGTCGGAATCCTAACTAGTTTCAAGTTTAGACTTTCCGATAAAGGAGAATCTTTCTACTAATCTAAACTGTCTTAGCCCACCCAATATAACTAATATAAAACAACAAAACATTTTCTAGTGCCAAAACCATTTTTCTTTTAAGTTAAAAGAGGTAAATTAATTAATTACTTGGTAAACTTTAAAAAATGGAGCAAAATCAAATTGGCGCTTAAATGTTAACTGATTTACTGTATATGATGAGAAATTCATGAGCATTACACCATTGTCTTCGTTTTATTCTACCGCTAAGATTTCATATCATACCTCATAATCCCATCTCTCTCTCTCTCTCTCTCTCTCTCTCTCTCTCTCTCTCTCTCTCTCTCTCTCTCTCTCTCTCTCTCTCTCTCTCTCTCAATTTCTATTACATTCATAGTGCCGTTATATCAGACAATATTTTCCCCTTTCCTTCCTTTATTTAATAAGACTGATCAGAAAATTAATCTATTGTTTACATTGATCATTTTTTATACACTGCTGTACTTTGATTTTTGCTGTTAAACAAACTGATGAAAACCACTTTTTACCCTTAATAGGAATTGACCTACTTATCAAGCACGCTCTTCCTTTACCCAATCAGCCAGCGTAAATTAGAACACCTCCGTGAGCTGTTTAAGTCTTTCCGTACCCTCTGACAAGTAGATTGTCTCTATATGTAATTGGTTATTGTATATATTTACAAATTGTGTCATGTTTTGTTGACTTACATACTCCATATAAATGCTAGAAAAGGCAATAAAATCAACAACAGCAGCAACAACAACAACAGAATCAGTAGACAGCGAAGATGACAAAAGAAGTGAGACAAATGAGGGAAGTACAAGAAAACAAAACCTCTGGAAATGACACAGGCATAACAACAATAATAGCATCAACAACGTGGAAAAAATACAGAACAACAATAGGATCACTAAAAGAGGGAATCATAAAGATTGAAACAGATAGAGAGAATAAATTAAGAGAGAACACAGTAAAGCCAATAGGATGAAGCTAATAATAGATTAAGGCAGAACGAGAATACTTTCTCCAAGCAGACGAAAACCAAGACGAATATTGACTTGCGGAACAATATTTCCTTCAAAAAGTTTGAGAAGAAAAAAAAACCAAAACAAAAAAACATAATAGAAAATTTAAAAAAACTAATTAAATCAAATATATTACATAATAAGGCAATCATAACAGAAATAGAATATATCAAGTTTTATAAAATAGCAAACACTTTACAGACCCTAGTATAGAAAAAAAATCTTACAATATAGCACAACTTTCACATGTAGGCCAGGAGGTCCTCCCTAAATGGTCTGAAAAGATCAATTGGGAAATCACCCTCCAAAAACGATAATGGCGCAATGACGTTAAAAAGGAAGAGCTGTTGTAATCCTGACAGTCAATATATCAAGATTGTATATATTAAGATTTATACTTTCCCGAAACCTATAAAAACTAGGATGATTAAAGACTTGTGGTCCCCTGCACATCAGCTAAGCACGAACACAATTGGTAGCAATTACCACGTGTTTCTTCGCACAAATGTATGCGACAAGCATGCCCCGCCGATTATTTGAAGGAAATCAAAAGATTTTAAAAAATATTTAAAATATGAACGTGACTAGAATACCGTGTCAGCTAGTTATGCGCGTCGGATAATTCTGCGCAACGATGCGTAATTTCCGTAAACAATGGATCGCGTATTTTTGGGGGGAAAAATCCATTTTGAATTTAAAAAAAGAACGATCGTACTTTAATTAACAAAAGAGACATTCATAAAGTGTACAAAAATAGCCCACATTTCAACTCGAAATGCATATGAAAATGTGATTTCTAACTATCAACATGAAGACCCACTCCATGACCTTCTTGAACCTGTAACCCCCCAAAAAATCCTATTTACTATGTCTCATTCAAAATCATACAAATAAGTACATTTACTAAAAGATGTAAATGTATACCTTAAAAAATTCTGCACTGCATCTTAATCTAAGTTTCTAAGCTTGCAAGAAGTTGTCCCACACGTACAAAATCGACTGCTACGCAACGTGTCAACGTGCAGCTATAAGTATTTGGTATGACTTGGTCCGGTGATCGAACCCTCGACCTCCCGCATCAGAGGCGGACGCTCTAAACACTAGGCCACCGGAGCGATCCCCCATAAACACAACGTTTTAAACACATTACATCCTATTCGTTGTTGTTTCACTTCCACATAGTTATTTTTAAAAACAGTTGCTTAGTTACATATTTTCAAAAGTTTGCGCAAAATAGGCGGGTATATTGCAAGTCATGAAAGCACTGGGCTGGTATCCTATGTGTCCAAAATTATTATTATTTTGAACAGAATATTATGGTGACCAATTTCCTCCTTTCAAATGGTAAGCATTGGAGCATGTCATTTTCGTTAATCGGTCGAATTTGGAATACGTTTCGTTTCAGTTTTGAAAATTTACAGTTTAATATTATTTATCCCCAAAATAGTGTTTCATCGTCTCGATCTTTTACACGATGGAGTGTCTCTTTACTTTCAGTAATCGATCTGATTGAGGAATGAAAATTGTAATCAACAATAAAGATATATAAAAAAATAGTTTTAGATATTTTTTTTCGAAATATTAAGCTTGTATTTGCATGTTTAAATCAACACACATCACTAATCAAAATTAAATCTCATGAGAGGGTAGAAGTGTCAGATTATGATGTGCAACAGTATACTTCAAAACAGTAAATATCTATGATTTTCTCGTATTTTAAAAATTCTTTGAAGTAAAACATCAGTTATTATTATACTAACTTGTACTACAAATATAAATATTATCTACTGAAGTATAATTTTTGCAACGAGGTAATTTTACATTTCGGTGATGATCATTTGCAATAAGGAGTTCATGCTTCCTGTGTTTTTTTTTTCTTCAAATTTACAATTCTGATATTGTTTAAAAGAAGGCCACAAATATATATATATATATATATATATATATATATATATATATATATATATATATATATATATATATATATATATATATATTCATCAATGGACTACGCACTAGGCGTATGAATATAAAAAATGTCTAATTTGGAAAGCAATACTCAGCCTAACTTACGGTTGTTATGTCTAACATGAGCGTTACCGTCTGGCACAGCATTGAAGCCAGGTGTTTCTGCTGATTTGGTGGCTTCGTACTTCTTCCATAACCTCGGTGCTAAATTTTAATTACCTTTTCGTAAATGCTTCCAAAACTTAATCATAATCCTGGCTGCAACTTAATTACCTTGATACCACATTTAGTAGATTATTTAATTATGAAGATCAAAGAAGCTACCTGGCTGTAATTAAGTCTAAATAACACTTGCTGGGAGAAAAAAAAATCACTCATTTAATAGGGTCGGTTTTTCTGAAATTGTACAACATTTTAAAGACATATCTTTGACATAACCAACAACAACAACAACAACAACAACATCACACACACACACATACATACATTCATACATACATATATATATATATATATATATATATATATATATATATATATATATATATATATATATATATATATATATATATATAACGTATTTTATCTCAGCCGTGTAGGAACAATTGTGTACTGTAATGGTGATCAACAATGTCTAAAAGAGAGAGAGAGAGAGAGAGAGAGAGAGAGAGAGAGAGAGAGAGAGAGAGAGAGATGTCCATTGAAGTGGGGCGCAATGTCCTGAGTCGAAACGTCCAGGTAATGCTGAACACTTGATTCAATGACGTTATTCCGACCGCAAGGATTGCCCAATCACCAACAAAACCAATCGTATGGGAGATAACAATGACTCCAAAAGTATATTCTACTCCAATCCAAGCCGCAAACAACAAGAACCCCACCATATTTAACGGGAAAATACCTCAATATGTAAACGGACACAATGGTCACATCTAACTCCAAAAACTGCTGACATAAATAATAACAAACAAAAGGAAGTCCCCACTAAACGTAAGGAAACCGTACACTACAGCTAAACACAAAGACCATCGGGAATATCAACGGGTGCCTAGTCCATTAAAACACCTAAAACCAAAAGCAAACCCTAAAACATACAGCACCCATCGCCTTTTCCGAAAAACCAACAAACAAAAGTGTAGTATCGATGTATGGGAAAACAAGAAATGAAATCACCTACAGTAAATGCTCGGAACTATCTAGCATATGAACCACCAACAACTAAACTATATTAAACCAACTTGTATATAACAGCACAACATATAGAAACAAAACAACAACAAAAAACAATACTACTGACAAACTGAATCAAGCTACAACAACATAAGAATTAATGAATAGAACCAAATAAGAAGCAAATAAAAAAACCGGCCCAAATATCACTCTCCGGAAAACACAATTTACATAAGCAGTACAAACAATCAATTACTTAACCTGACATACAACAGTATAACTAGTTCCCTATTACGATCCCATGGAGTACACTTCATGCTAATCAGACCAACAACAAATTATGTGATCGTACAATGCACTGCGCGAGGTCAGGTCGAACAAATTCATATAAATAGAATACATTGGAGATAATAAAGTTAATGTAGAACGTCACCACAAATGTCAACAGAAAACATTTACCAATACTATAAAAACAAAACCGCATAAACCTAAGCAAAAACTAAAACCAAAATGAACTCAACAAGACTTCACCAGCTACAAACTTTAAAGCACTATCACCCTTTTAGGCCACAACAAAAAAATATGCAATTTGGAACTCACTTGGCAGTTCAAGGAAAGTGGAGATCCAATTCACAAAATCTATAGAATTAGAAATAGACAAGGGCAAACCCCAAAAGCGGTATTATAATCTACCTCACCCTTACTTGCAATAATGAGGCTACACACCAAAGGTGCATTTCACCACTTGTTTATATAAACAAACCATGGTTGTGCTCCAACTGTCAATACTGGGGAAACTATGCCCTCAAATACCGATTAAATCCAAGATGCGCTCACTGTGGTGGACACCACCAAGGGCCGATGCGATGATGAATGTTAAACAAGTATATTTTTTATCATTTGATATAATTATTCTTGAACATCAAGACTGATTATTACCAATCTTATTAAAAGCAGATATCCACTGTTATACATGAAGATGTGACAGTGATCGCTAAGGGGTCGTTTTTCTGGTAATCTATGTTATGACCATAATAGCTAATTTGATCAGCCAATCATATGAAATCATATATCTGGGCGTTTGGACACTGAGCAGTGTGGACGAAGAACATGAATGTATACCGAACGATTTGATTCTCTTTCAGATCTGTGAAAGCTGCATTTCCATTAGGTAATTCAATGGTCACCAGAACATAATCCCTAAGCGGTCGTTATCAGATCTTCACGTAGGAGAGTAGGGATCTGATTTTAATAAGTTTGGATTATTATTGTCTTGGAGAAAGCCAACGTCATTATAGTCTTAGACAATGTAAAATGTCAAATAATGGAAATGATTTCATTTTTTATAAAACGTGTAAATATTTTAAACTGAAAAATTAAACGACACTTTGCGAAAGTGAAATTTGATGATAATTTCATTGAACTTGAGCACGATTAATGATCACACGATATTATGCATAGGTCACGGGATTTGTTAATATTTAGAGGTCAGTGGATACAAGAAGGAGTGGTACAGGGAGGGTGGATAGGTGTATGATCTTTAGGTGTTTCTGTTGAATATGTCGAGAATTGCAAGTTTTTCGGATAGTAGAATCATGAACATTTTCTTATTTTATAATGTCATAATATCGTATACATATACTGGTATTTGCTAGCTGTACGTGCATTTTCAATACTGGCTGGAATAAATTAATAAATACATCAATTGCTTTGTGCTTATTTTACTTTATTATAGCATGTTTTACTTTATTATAGCATGATCCCAGCTCGTTTATTTAATTATTATTTTGCGAGTAGCAAAAACAGGAATTGATTAATCAATCTCAATTAATTAATCAATACAATATGGACCGGCTATTTTAAGTTTCTCCACATATATCATTAAGTCATCGATTTATATAACTTGAACGAGCCACAACACTTTTACCAGTATGAGACTGCGAAATTGTCACGTCTCCAGATTTGCTTAGGTGAATATGTGTAATCTGACAGACTGTATTTTCAGATATCTTCGAATTTTCTTATTTTTCCACAGAATAGTTAGTTATCGAGACAAGTTTTATAGTAATTTACACTTTGGTCCCCGATTTTGATTTCGGATGTTTAACGCGAATTTTTGTATTAACGGAGCAAATGAGCGTTAGTAGTATTTATAGTTGATAATCCTCTCTCAGAGAGCCCTATCCCCGAAAGGTTGTACGTTAATATTTTTGTCAGCAGCCCTTTTTAGCTCATAATAATGGCATTCTCACAATAAGGCCTTTTTAATATATTTCTGACAAAAATATGTTTTGTCGGGGTAAATGTGTCTCTGAGAAAGGATTATATCAAGTATATCTACTGCTATAGCAGTCTCATACATTTTGGCCAAAATGTCATATTAAATAAATGAAATACCATATATAATGTCATTCTCAGTCTGACATCTTGGATTCGATCTGACACACTGATTTTGTAAAAAATTAAGATTCAATCAAAGCAGCGTCAGGTTATACTGGTATAAAATCTAATATGATAAGCGAATGTATTAAAAAAGTATGACATCATGTATCGCCGAAATATGGGTCGGTGTGGTTATTCGCGACTGAAAATTACATGAGAATGGGCAGATGATGTGATGACATTTATTGATAACATGATCGATACATTATTTAATAATGATACTTTCAATGCTTCAGAAAATTAAACAATTACTTTTTTATTATAGTCCTTTGTGTAATTTCTAACTCTCATTGTCAGAATGTGTTAACATAATATCAATAATGCGGAACTCGCGTATTAAGTCGTCCATATTATAATTAATACTGCGCAAATAAGATCGTATTTGATTAAGTAATTTTTAATAAGTGATACTTGCTGTTTTGCAAGCATTTCTTTAGTCGCGAGTCGAGGCTCAACTTTTTTACACGCTGATGCAAAAGAAACACCGACACCAGATATTATTAACACAAAAGGACTTAATGATGCGCCACATGAA